TGTTTCGTTGGTGTCCTGGTCCCAAGGCACGGTTCAAAAAAACGGAGATTTGTCAGAGCTGTGCTAAGGTGAAGAATGTTTGTCAAACATGTATCTTTGATTTGGAATACGGTCTACCCGTGGAAGTACGAGATAAAGCTTTGCGCATGTCTCAACAATTGCCGAAGAACGATGTCAACCGTGAATATTTCCATCAGCAAATTGAACAGCGTCTGGAAGCGGATGGAGGAGATATCACCGCCCCGTACGGAGGTCATCAACTAATTGGGAAAGTTCTATCGAATACTACTGCAGCCAGCAGCTCCAGCGGTGGTGGTGGTACTGATCTGTTGTTGAAGTTAGCTCGGACAGCACCCTACTATCGGCGTAACAGACCGCATATTTGCTCATTTTGGGTCAAAGGTGAATGCCGACGTGGTGAAGAATGTCCGTATCGGCACGAAAAGCCCACCGATCCCGACGACCCTCTATCGGATCAAAACTTGCGTGATCGTTACTATGGTCATGAAGATCCCGTGGCAGCCAAACTACTGTCCAAGTACGATAGCATGCCGAAATTAACTCCACCGGAGGATAAAACAATCACCACACTGTACATTGGCAGTATCCCAGATGGTTTGACTGAGTCTGATTTGCGTAATCACTTTTACCAGTTTGGTGAACTGCGCTCGATCAATTTGCATCCGAAACAGCATTGTGCATTTATTCAATTTGCGAACCGTAGTTCCGCCGAAAAGGCCGCTGAGCGTACATATGATCGTCTCATTCTGGGTGGACATCGTTTAACCGTGAACTGGGGTAAATCACCCGCGGCACTGGCTGCAGCTCAAGCTCCGTCTGCTACAGAAGCTGGTGATGCTTCAGCCTTGCCACCAGTCCCTGGGTTACCGCTTCCTCCAACGCTCCCACCGACAGCCTTATTCGGCAAGTCAGCACTTGGTTTAGCTGGTGGATTCTTTTTGACTCCACCCCCACCGCCGCCACCACCACCGCCACCTCCACCTGGAACGACAGCAACTTCAGGTGATGGCCGTGACTCTTCCAAAGGTGTCCTTCTGGCGAACCAGTTCAACTCGAAAGATCTCAGGTCGATTCCACCACCACCACCTCCAACTTCTACGGGTCAGGTTTCCAGTGGGATACAGATCGCTCCACCAGTGGTCGAACCACCTCCTCCAGGAGGTAAGTTATCATTCATTTTTTATTCAACAACTTGAGTCACTTCCGATATCACTGTCAGGATCGCTGAGAGGAGTAAATCATTTCCGTTAAGCCTGGTTTGTTCAGAAGTACCCTATTACTCCCAGGTGTACGCGCTTGGCACGTATTGTCTTCAAAATAAAATATAAAATCAACGGTACCGTCAGTTGGCCTCAAAACAAACTCTGTGTGACGTGGAGAAATGATAGAATGAACAAACAAAGTTGCACAACGGAATGTCCCTTTGCCGTCAAATTCTCGGGTGAAGTGTGATTGCGAATACAAAAATCTCGATTATCATTTACTGATTCTTTTACCATCCAACAGCGCGAAATTCTGTAAACGCTGTCCGTGTTGTCGACTTACGCTGATAGGATAATCGAAGAAATTTTATGAGCGTAGTCGGTCCGCTTTTTTTTGATCGCAATGATCATAGACGAGACTAGTAAAACACTATTTGTCAAATCACATTATTGATGCACACTTAGTTCTCTGAACCTGACCGCTTTCAAAATTGTTTTTACACGTTGACTGGGCATCATTTGGATCTACCACAAAATCTGGTGTTCCAAATCATGCTAGAACAGTTTGTTTCATTTCATTACTTGATGGTCGTCAAGGGAATTGTTTATTGAACTCTTCGTTCATTTCTACTTTTGTTTTCTCAGATATTTTCCTGCGTGGTCCTCCTCCACCGCCACTTCCCGTCTCTACTTCGATATCGACTAATCTCACCACAAGTCGAGGATCAGCGGTTGCTGGAATGCCACTGGCACCACCACCTCCCCCACCGCTGCTGGCCTCACTTGCAGCTGAGCGTCTAGCTGCGTCAGCCAGTTCACAGCTACCTCCTATGCCGCCACCTCCTCCGCCTCCGCCTCCACCAGGAACACTAACGACGCGAGATACCGCTTCTTCTAGACAAAAGGAGACCAAGTCCACCGATGAGGGTCCTCTGGGTATACATTATCCAAGCCAGAATCCACAACGTATGGGTAGTGTTCCGGCTGCTCAACAGCATGAATAATGGTTGGGAGGAACCGAGAACAGGCTTGCGAGGTGCTTGAGAAACACAATCCAGTGCTTCTCCGTTTCTCTTGATACTATCCCTTGGGTTGCCGTGATTTGCATTGTCCTTAATACAAATTCACAACGATGTTTCTCTTCATCAGTTTTACTTGTGCGCAACCGGTTGAGCCACAGACAACACTAATTGAGATATGCACAACGACACTACTTATATTCTGTAAGTAGTCAGATTATAATGTCTGTCAGTCATATCGTCAAGACATTATTCGTACACATGACACCATTCACCCAGACATTCACATTTCGATAGTATATGATGGTATGCAAATTCTTCTCCCTCAATGATTGCATATAGGATTGATGTATCATACATGGGTGTTAAGAAGGTGCAATTGGCGGTAAAACCTCGGCTATCGATCTCCATCCAATTATACTTTGGTAGAATTGCGTGCGAATGATGACGACCTTGAGAGAGAAAGAGTAAAATGCACATAAAATACGAAGTCAACATTGGTGTTGTTCATATTTTGTCAATAATCACAGGTCTTAGGTAGGGAGGTAATTATTTGTGTTACAAAATAGATGAGTTTTTTTCGCGACACAGAAGAACACAAAAGTACCGAGTGGGTTGTTGGTAATGCAGTTGTTTCCGCGTAAAAATGGTAAAATAGTGTTTCCCATAAGTTAAATGTATGCAGTTGTTACACGCGTGGCTGTTTTTTGCTACTCACCTGATCGTCCACTGAAGGATTGGTGGTACTGGCTCAGTCGTGTAGTCGTTGTCACTGGCGTGCTCTGGACCCCATGGTTCAAGGTTCGAGCCCCGCCACCCAACTTTGGTGGTAGGTGGTGGCTTTACTTTCGTTCGGCTCAATACCTCACCTCATGCAGTTCGCCGCTCTTAGTTCCGGGGTTTAGGTTACCGGTTTCCATCACTTCGTGACTACGAGGCTTTCTCTGTCTATTGTTCATCACACAAATGTGTACAATAATAGATAACATTCAACAAAATCTGAAAGCAGTATCTACATAAGGGTACAGGATCTCCATAGCAAATGAAATGATGCACAAACATCAATTTTCTTGTTTCTCGGCCACATCTTTTGATGCCTCGATTGGGTCGATTACCAGTTTCATCCGTATAATCTAACACGACCCAAGGTCTGCATATCTCTTATGATAGATAATAGTTTCGTCACCATTTGTCTTCTTTCAGCCACTGCCTGTCCACAGAATCATCACAAACCGAGGAAGTCTATTCGTTGTCATGGGTACCAAATGTTTCGTCCACGTGCTATACGTCATCGACATCAGTAACCCTGATCGATGAAAAGCATTGCCTAACCCGTTTACTTGCTCCTACACTTGTGTTGATATGGTCATAATAATTTGAAAACTTTTACTTGGAAAACCGAGAACCGACTCATGAATCCGTCAGTATAAACATGATTGACAGTACGTTTGTACATGGAGGATACCATATGTCGAAAGTGATCGTTTTATTGTTTGACAACATGTGACAAATTCTACATGCGTATCTACTAATCGTTTGCGTATTCCCTCAATCTCGACAATGTTGTTCGCGAAAACAATTGGAGCCCGGCCTACTGGGACAGATCGCACGCACATTCATCTATTCCCCTAGAACCGTGCTCGTAGTTACGAAAATCAGTTGACACGCAGATTAGACAACCCAGTAATGTGATCAATGCAAAAAATATTGAGTGGTAGTGATCGTAGTGAATACAGCCCCGTAGTTGGCAATGGCGGTGCGCACTCCACCAAGTAACCGCGAGAGATTCGTGTACCCTTTATACTATGCCATTGTTGTCCTCAAAGATGGAGGTTGTTTTCTGTGCTAACAGTGACATCAATTGCCAATGCGATATCTTTAGGTAGCTGGAATAGGCCATGGCTCTGTCGGTGAAAACACTCATCAGATTACATTGTCGACCCATTCATTCCGGTAGATCTCTTAGACTCTCATTCTTGTGTTTGTCATTCGTATTCACATTTTGCTCAATTGCTCCACACGATGTCGCATTGTGTTCCACAGCAAAGACACCGATGCGTCGCCCTCTCAACGGCACTTTCGGTGTCAGTTGCTGATCCAGGGAGACTTCACCAGATTTCATGTGTTCTGACCAAATTTGCCCTACCCACTGCCTTCCTCGTGGGGCGGTGTTTTCCCACCAAAGTGAGAGGACGAAAAGCGAACATCCATGGTCGTAACTGGGTCGGTGAACCACTGGTAGTTCACTTGGGGGATGTGGCTAAACCCTGATTCCAAACCAACCAAGGAGAAACGTACGAACCATAAATCCACAGCTTCCTGGTTGAGGTATTGGTCACCGGTTCGATTTGGCATCCATTTGTATAGGGCATATTGGACGCTTGACCCCGTCCGAACGGCGTATCATCCAATGAGCTAGACACCGCCCCCCAATAGACTGCGGTTTTCACAACGCCGCGCTGCCTTGCCTGTCAGGCTTTGGTTAACCGAAGGCTCCAAGTGTGAATTCCTCAAGATTTTGGATAATGGTTTGTTGTAATCTATTTGTCGCAGGAGACCGAGCACTACCAGGGATATATAGAAAGAGAGTGTGTGATGTTGAAATGTGCTGGTTCGCTTGTATCGTTTTAGCCGCCTGAAAACTGCAAATCTTGGTTCAAATACTTCTCGATATTCAAAGTGCATAATTCCATCAAAAAAGGAGTGCATATTGACATGGCTTGATGGCCTGTGTGCTTTCATGCCACAACAAGCTGAACAGGATGGCTCCCACTAGCCATTGGTTCAATCACACCTGACATACAAAATTTCTAGCAAGACCGAATGATGGGGCGCTAGCTGGATTTTCTTCGAATTATCCCTTTTTCTGTCCCTGGAGAGGTCATTCGAATGAATAAACACGATAAGTATCAGCTTACCGATCATACCCACATTAGATGTACAGGGGAGTAGTGTACATAGGCGTTCCTCCAGACTGAGAATTCTTCGTACTTCATTTGACGGTTACCCCATCCTCCAAAGTGGTTGGTAAGGCGAAGGCTTCGAACAGCGTTCTCTATCTTTGCGCGCAATTGTCTTGCGATGAACAATGATAAAACACTATTTGCGTTCAAACCTCACACTCTACTCACTGTTCTAATCTGGCGCAACAATGTTGAGATTGGGTGCAAGTTATTGCGGTCTGGCACTGATCCAGGCGCATGATCTCCATAGGTCACTGTCTATGACATGTGGCATACAAATCACCAGATAGACCTTAGCATACGATGTTTTCCGGTGCAGACAATCATCATCATAATCATCGTACAGCGAGAAACAGTCAAGCGAGCTTCACTGATCGCTGCCAAGCTCACAATGTACACAAATCAAATGATACAGCAAAAGATGGAGAGGGATTGGGCCTAATTGGAGAGAAGCAAAGAAGAAGAACCTCTATGGTCAACGCACAGAATACACATTCTAAGTGTTCATGCGGACCTTTTTCAAACATTCTGCCTTGTTAAGAAATGACAACAAGAACGCCACTGCTGTCGGTCAGTCGCCATATCCCTTAATGTCTCCAGCCAGCGAGCTGCAGAGTCTTTCGGACCCCAACCTGGAAGACGGGAGACACCGATTCTACCTAATCGCTCTGTGCATTTCTTCATGCTTGGCTTCCACGTCATCTGTTGACTACCACGCGGTTTCTTACAACCAGGAGCCGTAACTGTGAAT